TCTGTCTTTCCCTGCCTTTAGGTTTGCAAACATTCTTAGAGCCAGCTTGCTGGGCCTTCCAAAGTCAATCTGTACCAACTAACCCTATGAACAGCTGGCATATTTGAAGTTAGGTTTCAGTCCACTTTAGTTATAAAAGTTTCAGATATTCCGGGGTTAACATTTCTTGCTTTAAAAGCCCCAGGTTTTACTCATTTAAGAGACAAGAAAGCTTGGCAACTTCCCTTAGTGCCAGAGGCATTTCATTATAATCTAGTGAGGCTAGTACAAGAGTGAATCCTCCCCTTTGTCCCTGCTGCCCAAAGGCTGACCTGCTGCCTAGGCATCACTTGGGATCCATGAAAAGTGAATCCGGGGGCCTCACCCCAAATCAACTGAATCAGATTCTGTGTTTCACAGACAACCCTGAGGATGTGCAAGCAAGTTCAATACTGAGAAACACCGTGATAGTGAGTGGGAGATACCATTTCTCCTTTTGTCCCAGTGTCCTCTGCCCCCCACCTGGCTCTCTGACACATCAATCTCCCCACACAGCCCAGGCATCTACCACACATAACGGGACCCTTATAGCCCCTGTCTTCCATCAGAAGGAGCCTGCAGGGATCTGACCCAACATAAAGACAAACCCCAGACCAGGTCTGCCCTAATGGCAAATCATTTGGCACCTCAGCTCTACCAAATTTGGGGGTTATTTTTCTCTAATCCTTTTTATCCTTTCATAAAGTCCTCAAATGGATAACAAATGGGATGGAAGGTAGCCAGATGGTTTATGAATGGAAGTTTCTCCCTCAGGCTTCTATTTTGTCTCCTTAACTATAAGTCAGGGACCGAGCAGTACTATGTAATTACTTTTGTTTATGAAGCCCTACACACCTGAGAGTTAACTTTCCTTTACCCAAAACAAGATGAAAAGGAAGTAGTAGCTCCTGGCTTGCTCTTATGGGTGCCCACCATACCTGAGGTTCTACCAGGGCCCTGAGGGAGGGCTGCGTACGGAGTATCATGTGCCACGGTGCTCCCTAAACAGAGCTCATGGTGGCAGCATATTTTCTCATGAGATCTAGTGCCAGGTTCCCAGGCATTTCAGTTACCCCTCAGTCTTGAATACATCTGGTCTACTTGATAGTAAAGTTTTCTACATTGCACATCTGGAATGACACAACCCTTTCCTAGCCAACACTATATAAATATCAAGAAGTAAAAGAACAGCAGTTAAGGATTATGTAAGTATTAAGAGAAGTAGCAGCCTAAGCCACCTTCATTATTTTTTGAAGTGGGTTTAGTTTTTGAGCTAGAACAGGTAGAAAACTCAGAATATACCTTATTATTATTACCTTATCACACACAGTTTCAGTAGCTGTTTCTGTTGCTTTCAATTCTTCCAAAAAGATGCTATTTTTTTTTTTCTGCCCAAGGAGTTCAAATTAAAATTGTCAAACTCTGATCAGGGTCATTTCTAAAACTTGAATATTATTAGGTAAATTAGGGATGACAGAGGAAACAGGAAGAATAGATAAAAATAAATAGGAAATGATGTGTAAAGTGGTCACAAATAATTACTATTTTTCTAACATAATCCTTTCACACTAGTTTTATATTTCATCATTGCTTCTTAAGGTTGGGTGGCGCGGAACAAATAAGTTGAAGGGCCTAAAGGAGGTGTCTGCCTCTGTTTCCCCATTTTCATGCCTTCTTTTCCATGAAAAAAGAAAGACCTGTGAAAGGAAAGTACTGAACTTTCTGGGGAATGTATCATAGAAAAGAGACTGGTACCCCTCCACCTTGTGAGTGAGTTGAGAGTGATGATTTTTATTAAGTGTTCCTAAATACCAGAGCCTGCCATAACACACAGATGGGCATGCTGAGAAGCTGGGTCAATAGCAGTGGCTATTTGGACTTCAGGTATAAATATGCTGGAACTTAAGTGAAGCCAGCCATGAGACCAGCACAAGCGTCAATGCCAGTGTTTTACAATAACTACACCATCAAAGACCATTTTCCTATGAACAGTATATGTAAGAACCACAGAAAAGTTTAGACATGTGCCAGCATTCCCATATGCCATTTTGAAGTTGGAAATAACTCACTCATTCCTAGCAACTCATTACTCTTATTTATTTATTTTTTTATAGAGGCATTTATTTATTTGTTTATTTGTTTGTTTGTTTGTTTATACAAGCACTGGGTACAGTCAGAAGCGCGGGAGGGTGAGAGAATACACCAGAGCCAGAGCAGAGAGCAGAGCAGGCAGAAGGACCGAAGTACACTGCTGAGGGGAGCAGCAGGTGGCAGGAGAGGTCTGCGAGCCATGTGGAACCTCCTCCGGTGGCCGGGGAGCAGCTGGGGATCAAACCGGCGCCGCAGAGGCCGCGGGCAGCTTCGCAACCCAGAGCTCAACCGCTGCGCCACCAGGGAGGCCCATAATTTTATTTTTTAATTAATTTTTTATTTATATCTTATACATCATTGTGTAGTCCCCGTAAAATTTGTACCAATTCACCGGTGAACCATCACCATAGTCCCTTGTGCTCCTCTTTCCCCTATTTTGATCCCTTTTCTTCCCCCTCCCTCGAAGAATATCTCTGATTTGTGGTTGCTTGCTAATTTTGTTTTTATTATTATTGTTGTTGTTGTTGTTGTTACTATTTTTTTTTTCTGATTCCTTATTTGGTTCCCCTACATTCCTCCTATAAGTACAACCATCCTATATTTTTCTTTTTCCTGCTGGTTTATTTCACTGAACATGATCCCTTCTAGCTCCATCCATGTTGCTGCGAATGGCATGAGTTTATCTTTTTTTTTTTGGTTGCTGAATAGTATTCCATGGTATATATGTACCACATCTTGATCCAGTCATCTATTTTTGGGCATTTGGGTTGTTTCCAAGTCTAACCTATTGTAAATAGAGCGGCAATAAACATAAGGGTGCAGGTATTACCACATAATTTTAAAAACATTGTGGAAATCTCCTTTAAGTAATTCATGTCCCAGATGAGAGACAAGCCCCAGAAAGGCCCTAGCCCACTAGGCCATCTTCCTGCTTGCTAGATTTTTATATGGGTCCTTAGCTACAAAACTAATGAGCACAGATCTCAGTCCTGTTCTTCTTTATGTCCCAGACCTTCTGCCACTCTCTCTTCTGTGGATACATTTGGGAAGTCCAGGGGTAATTACTGCTGATATTATACGCGTACAGGAGGTACACAGCCTGTCCTGGGGGCAAACCTCTCTCAAATTTCCCAAGTATGATGACAATAGGGTACCTCCGAGTGCAGGCTCTGTTCTCTGCTGATTCTGAGTCCACTTGGTAAAAGGGGGCAGACCATACCTCCACCCTGAGGAGGCCTCTTTAATCTTGCCAGTGAAGTGGACCAAGGGTGGTATATGAGCATATACAGAGGCTCTTCCACAAAGGAATTGTTGTTCCTCTTTTGATATTTCATTCAAAATATATTCAAAGAAATAAGCTCAATTATATGAGAGGAGGTGGTTTTGAATAGAACTGCACAATTAAAGGAAATCATTATGTAGGATTGCCTTGGGACTTCTCAAATCTTGAATGGAAAAATATTTTTATTAGAACAAATTCTTTCACAGATTCCTAAAATTGTAACAAAATACAGGATGGGCTGAATATAGAGTTTAGGAATTTTTAGAAGAAGAAATATCAACCCCCCCCCCAAGTTTGTTATTAATGGACACTTGATTTTTCTTAACCGGGAACAGATCATCTTCTAGTAATAACACTTTTTTTTTATTTTGTCAACTATTAATAATTATTTGATATGCTAGGTGAATACAATGCTCCCTTATTTTTACTACTTATAAGCAAAAATGCAGTTTCTTTATAATGTTGTGCTTATAAATGTTGTCAGATAGCAGCAGGGGGAGAAGTGCTGAGACAACTGTTACATTGTGCTGTGTACTAAATAGAAAGACTCCTTACAGATTTACACTGGGAGTATGGAGAAATGTGTCATTAAGGTGGTTTTCTTTGGAAAAAAGGTAAAGTCAAGTTGCTCAGAAAGCCATGAATTCTCATGAATGCTCAGCTATTATACACTTTGTCTATAAAGTAAAATATTTAGGTATCATTGACATGATTTTTTTTATGAATACTGGAGCAAGTTTGTGAAAATTAATACTACAGAGAAAGTTTTGCTTTCTTTTCATTAGCCATGAGAAATTACAGCACATTTATAATCAAATTTACATAGACACTTAATCTAGAACTATTTATAACATTTTTTAATTAACAGCAAACTTGTATTTAATGGGATGAACTTCATACACATTCTTGCTTTGCAGGAGTAAGTGTTTCCAAATATATTGGCTGACAAAAAATGCTATCATAAACATGGTGGCTTTTAACTTTTTATGCACCTAAAATTAATGTTATCTGTCAGTTTACCTCCGTAATCAGCTTTTCTGCCACTCCCATTTCTTGCCCATCTTCTCAGTTACTGAAGAGTTAAAGTGCTTGTCTCAAGTGTTACTGAAAGACTGCTTGTGAAGAGTCAAAACTGCTTCACTGCAAGAGTCATTATAATTCACCGATGCCTCTTACCCCAAAGCAAATGAGGGTTTGTTAGGATCCAGTGGCATTTAAAGATCTGGGACCCCGGCTTTGCTGAGCGCTCATTTCTGCCTCCATCCAGTATTTTTGGGTTTTGCTCTAAGTAATGACATCGGGCGGGATCAGGAGGCGGTGCTCGCCAATCGGGAGGCAGCTGGAAGAGTTCACGCGTGGGAAATCTCAGCCCCTCTCTTTCTTCCAAACACCCGCGGCTGAGCGCCCCGCGCCGCGGCGCAATCTCGGGAGCCAGGGGCAGGGGGTGTCCTCCATCTGTAAACTGGGGATCGCCTCCTAGAAATGGCGGGGGCGCCGGGGACGCACGGCCGGCCGCGGAGGCGGGGAGCGCGCCGCCGGGTTTCTCTGTTGCTACAGCCGTGATGTCACTCGCCCATCCTAACCCGCGGTTGGTTGTTTTGTGTTTCAGCTCTGCCTGCAGTTGAACACAAAGACCTGGAGGAGACTCCCACATCCTTCGGGGAGAAGAAAGGAGGCAGCGAAGCAGATTAAAGGAACTTGTGGCTCGTGGCCTTTTGAGTACAGGGGCTGCCTGGAAGCGGGAAAGTGAATTAAAGCCACCGTGGCAGCTAATGAGCTGTGAGATGAGGTGCTGCTGCTGCTGACAATCAGATTCCAGGCTCCGTCTGCTGTCCTTTGTGCTTCGTGTACATGTGTCTATTCAGCGCATCCGGAGGCGCCCAGAAGAGAATCCAACACGGCTGCCGGGGAGAGACCACCCACCATGCCCACGGAGACCCTACAGACAGGTAGCATGGTGAAACCGGTCAGCCCCGCCGGCACCTTCACCTCGGCGGTCCCCCTGCGCATCCTCAACAAAGGGCCAGACTACTTTCGCCGGCAGGCGGAACCCAACCCCAAAAGACTCAGTGCGGTGGAGAGACTGGAAGCCGATAAGGCCAAGTATGTCAAGAGTCAGGAGGTGATCAACGCCAAGCAGGAGCCGGTGAAGCCGGCCGTGCTGGCCAAGCCGCCCGTGTGCCCCGCCGCCAAGCGCGCGCTGGGCAGCCCCACGCTCAAGGTGTTCGGCAACAACGCCAAGACGGAGAGCGGCGTGCAGAGGGAGAACCTGAAGCTCGAGATCCTGAAAAACATCATCAACAGCTCCGAAGGCTCCAGCTCAGGTTCGGGTCATAAGCACAGTTCCCGAAACTGGCCGCCGCACAGGCCAGATGCCACCGACCTGCACCGGCACTCCTTCGCCGAGTCCCTGAAGGTGTACCCCACGCAGGGCCGCGGCAGCCCGCAAGAAAGCAGCTCCCACGTGGGCAGGAGGCTGCTGGAGCAGTCAGCCGAGTCCTTCCTCCACGTGTCCCACAGCTCCTCGGACATCCGCAAAGTGACCAGTGTCAAGCCCTTAAAAGCAATCCCCTGCAGTAGCTCCGCCCCTCCCTTGCCTCCCAAACCCAAGGTCTCCTCCATTGCTACCATGAAGTCGCCCGAAGCTGACCCGGTGGAACCAGCTTGTGGAGTCAGCCGAAGACCCTCCCTCCAGCGGTCTAAGTCAGACTTGAGTGACAGATATTTCCGGGTGGACGCGGACGTGGAGAGGTTTTTCAACTACTGCGGACTGGACCCCGAAGAGCTGGAAAACCTTGGCATGGAAAACTTTGCAAGGGCTAATTCTGACATAATATCCCTCAACTTCCGCAGCGCAAGCATGATCAGCTCAGACTGTGAGCAGTCTCAGGACAGTAACAGTGACCTTAGAAATGATGACAGTGCCAATGACCGCGTGCCATATGGCATTTCTGCCATCGAAAGAAACGCTAGAATCATCAAGTGGTTATATAGCATCAAACAAGCTAGAGAGTCACAGAAGGTCTCCCACGTGTAAGCGAAAGTTGTGCAGAGGAGGGAGGGGTGGGTCTCTGTGCATCGGCAGTTGTGAAGGTTGTGAGGTCTCCTTGAAGTGTTGTGAGCTTCTCCACTCTCTTTGTGTTGCTTGTTGTGCAATGTTTTCAAGTTGCATGCCTGTCAACATGGGGACTGACCTTGGCTTCCACTCAACCATTGCTGCAGAGCCTGGCTCAATATGCGTCATCTGCCAAAAGTTTCAGGCCAGGATCTAATTAGGGCTTTGATCTTCAGCAAAACTGTTTACAGGAAAAAAAAAAAAAAACAACAACAAAAAAAAAAACGGTATACAACTTCTTCAATATTTATGTGTTTCTTGTGTTTTTATATTCTGCGCTATTGTGTCTTAATTAAAAGTTTTATCAACTAGCTTTTAAGTTGAGAGTAGAATCTTTTTGAAATAAAAAAAAGCCAATTTGCCTACATGTGAAACCGAAATAATTGGGGAAATAAGTGGGATCTGCTACCCAACAGATATTGAGACTGTCCGGAGATGAAACCAGTTGGAGTATTTTGAGGTAGAAAGTGGTGAGCCTAATGTTAATCTTTTATGTATTGAAATTCTTAGCCACTTGCTAAAGTAATGGTTGGGGCAGCAATGCTACGTTTTGTGTCCTATTCCGTGTGTAAATGTTGGTGTTTGTGTAACACTGACCCCAAGGAAAGACAATCAGATACAATGAAGGTGATTCAATCTAGGACGTTGGGTGTTTGGGGGTTATATTGATGTTGTTCTGATTTGTATTGGTTCAGAAATTTCTACTATTATTCATTTGATAAGAATGACCACCCAAAAAACTGATACTGAATGTCTTAAAAAAAAAAAAAAGTTGGGTTTTGTTTTTTTTTTGGTCAAGAATTAATTCCATGCTAATTTTCATCCCGCCTCCTTACCTCCCTCTGTTGTTGTTTTATTTGGGAGAGGGGAGTGGGGCTTGTGCAGGTTTGAGCTACCTGAAGACATGAACACAAATGGAAGTACCAGCCATATCAGTAGAGCACCTCCATTCAACAGTGAATGCCTTTGGTAGCTGAACCCTATCTGAGCAGTACAATTGTGATGTCTTGCCTATGTTATTCTCTCAAGCTGTAGACCTTTGCTACAGCTCTAGAAATTGTAGGAACACAACACTATGTAGCTTTCCACCTGTTGGTCACTAGCGCTGCATATCAACTTGTTCCCTTTCCCCCCAATAACCTGTCTTCCAGGTGGTCTTGTTAGCTGTCCACCAGCTGACGGCTGTGGTGTGGTAGCAGAAAGGTGATAGTGCCGTGGTGGTCTGCTTCATGGCCCTTGTACTCATGCTCTGAAGTTGTCAGCAGCACTACCTTAGACTTATCAGCTAATAGGAAACTTTTTATGGTGTAAATGCTGTAAGACTTTGTACATACTTCAGTTGTTATGAAATCTTTATGAAAAAAAGGAAAAATTATGTTAATAAATAGCTCTGGTGCAGGCACTAATGGTGGTGGTTTCTCTGTCCTTTCCTTTGCTTCCTACACAAAATTTTAACTTGGGACTGTGAGCCAGAAGCAGCTATGTGATAGTCTTGAGGAAACATTATTTCATTCAGTTATTTTCACCATATCACAATTATTCTGAGCTGCAGAATTCTTAATTGTAGGTATAACAATGTGCTTTTGCTAACATAGTTTCATCAAGGTTCCTAAAATATACTGTTGCTACTTTACTTAGTTCACACTTCTGTTATTTTTATCTTTTCTTAAACATCTGAATTTTTCACATCTTCCACAGACTCTTCAGTTGTAAATATTTATGAGTTCTACAATGGAGATATACCTTTGAGATTTATAGCCCTGTTTTATTTGTACAAGCCCAACATCATTAGCATTGCATGTGTTCCTATAGTTCCACTCATTCATTCATTCCCCACCCAATAGGACATTTGTTGAACCACTCCCCTTTTCAGGCCTCATAGTGGACACAGCCTGCTGTGGTCAGCACTGCTCTGAATGGAGGAACTTCGATTTTCACATTTATTTTGACTGTCATTCCACTTAGTAAACATGTCTTTTCTCTTATTATAAGGACCCTGATTATTCAGTGAGTATTTATCAAGTCAAGTTTTTTGAAGCTTAGTATTTCTTCAAAGTTCCATATAAAGTAAAAGGTTTATTTAAAAAGTAATTTTCAGAAACAAATATGATTCTCAACTATTATTATTCACAAATATTTTCCTACTGAAAGTCAAATTTGGTTCCTGGAATATCTCTACTGGTTTTGAATTCTTTCTGTTTCTCTGGTACTCAGTTCAACCAGAGCTCTACTTTCCAGAAGAAACATTGAAATGCAGCTATTAGTGGTGATAATATATAATGCAGTCAAGATAATATGAAAACATGTTTGTATGCATGTATATGTGTGTATATATGTATACATTCGTATGTACATAAAAAAAAAAGCAAGCTTTTTTTTCCTCATCATTGTGTAGAAATGTGGTCACTTAAAGTATTCAAGACTTAGCATTTATATAATCCATCTCTTTCTGGGGCTTTCGAGTAAAATTGGTGTTATTTTCCTAAGGTAACCAGTTTTGGGGAGAGAGAGCAGTCCTTAGCTAATTTAATATCACTTCCTATGTGCTGTTTTAATTATAGATTCTGCTTGAACCTTCAAACATTTAAAAACCACATTTAATCTGTATTCCAATAGGGCTATAACTCATCCCACTATAATTCAGTTCAATCTTTTGTGGCCTTATTTGTAGAATGAATAAATGGGAGGCTTTTGGTTCCAATGGAAAGTAGCAGCTCATTATTTGTGGTGGTGTTGTTGTTGTTGTTGTTGTTGTTGTTGTTGTTCTTTAGAGTTTTGATAAAGCACTATTTCAGACACGCAATATTAAATCCTGAAAGTGAGATATTTCCTAATTGTGAAGTCTTGTTTGCAAAATGGTCACTGTTAGCTCAGGGAAGTAAGTATTGTGTGTGTGTGTGTGGTGTAATGATAATGTTATAAATACAGGGTTATCATTGAGTTGATCACACTTTTCTTATTTGCCCACACAAAGCATGAGTGCACTAGATGGCCTAGTAAACGTGTTATTTCTTTCCAAATACCACCAAATTTATGAAATCCTTACATAACTGTCCCTTGTGCTATTGTCTTAGTTCAGTCTCTCATCTCCTCTTACCTGGACTATTCTCCCTAGAACTTCCTAACTGAAAGCCTCCATCCCTTGCCAATGAGTTTCTTTCCATTCCATTTCATCTCAAGCCATAGTTATCAGCTACGATTATGTCCCTTCTCTCTATAAAGACATCCTCTAACTTTAAGATGTTGCAGATAGGATCAAGTCTAACTTCTTAAAAAATGTTGGGCATTTACCTCTCAGACCTCATCATCTGTTTCCCCTTTGGCCACCCAATCTAAGTCTCCAACCAAAGGGACATTTCCATTGGAAACATTTTGCCATTGCATTAGTAATCTAATGCCCAATGTCTAGCAACTAAAACAATATTTGTCGTGTTAATATCTTTTGGCCAAGAACCCTAGAGTGCCTTGGTCAGATGGTTCTGGCTCAGGGGGGTCTCAGTAGGCTGCAGAAAAGATGTTAGCCCCCGGGAGCATCATCTGATGAGTTGACAGGGGCCTGAGATTCTAGTTCCAGGATGGCTCACATGAAATTGGCAAGAGTCCCTACAACACAGCAGAGGGAGTGGCCAATAGAGAGGGCAAGGAGGGTGTCATAATGCCCTTTGTGATTCAATGTACTAATTCACACATTCAGTTCATTAGGATCATGTCACTAAAAACAGCCCACACTCATGGGGACGACAGTTAGGCCTCACTTTTTAAAAGGGAGGAAAATCAAGGCATTTATGAACCTGTTTTAAAATCACCATGTCTGTTGAGATTTAGTAGCTCTTCATTAGTGAGGAGAACTTTTTCCTCCCTCCATGATTCAAAGAGTCTTGCTCTTTCAAAACTCAGTACAACTATCAACTTGTGGGATTGTTTTCGAGTTTCTTTGTTGCCTTTTCCCACTAGATGGTAATTTTTGTCATAGCCATGGTCCCAACCATTGCTAGCCTAACTGGTACCTTTGTGTGAAATATGAAATGGTGTACCTTCCTTAAAACATTTTCTGCCAGGAAAAAACAAAAATCTGTCCTGAGAAGTTTACAAATCTCTCATTATTATGGTGTGGGCCATGACCCTAGAGTTGGGGGGACATAACAGAGCTATCCAGAGTATTTAGTAAATGTTTAATAAATGTCAACTTGAATTTTTAAAATATACCACATCTAAGTCTTACGCTAGTTACCATATAAATGTTGTTAAGTGTGAACCTAAGATGGTGGTTACTGTTCTATTTTAGAGGTGAAAAATATCAATTCCATGGAAATACAGTCCCTTACCTAAGATCTCAGAGGAAAGAAGTGCTAGAATAAGATTTCACTCAACTCTATGGTTCCAAAAGTTCAGGACAAAGGCAGACTGAATGCATTGTATTTAAAAAAGAAAGTAGGGTCTCCCCAGTGGCGCAGCGGTTGAACACCACGCTGTGAAGCTGTCTGCAGCCTCTGCAGCGTCGGTTCGATTCCCTGCCAGCCAGGGAGAGACCCACATGGTGGGACAGACCTCTCCTGCCTCACCCGCTGCTCCCCTCAACAGTGTACTTCGGTCTGTCAGCCTGTTCTGCTTCCCGCTCTGTCTGTGATTATTTCTCTCACCCTCCTTCACTTCTGAACTGTACCCCAGTTCTTGTATAAATAAATAAATAAATCTATAAAAAAATAAAAAGAAATAAAAAGAAAGTACCCTAAATTAATCTTGATCACTTTTTCTGCTGCCTGTGCATCTAAACATGTCTCAGTCAGAATTCTTACCTAAATGATAACCAATAAAATTTAGAAAAAGACTTCAGTTGTTTCAATATGAATAACACACAGCCCACTGAAATCAGGGACAGCACTCTTAGAATCACATTTCATTTCTGAATGTGCTACATTTTAAAACTACATCCTGTTATTTTTGATCAAGGACTTTTAGAAGGATAAACCATAGAGAAAAATGGCCACAATTCAACAATCAGGAAACACATTTTGATAATTTGTTGAGTCAGCAATACTCCATTTTCTCATCCTTGAGGATGTACATAGTGTGTTCTGACCAGAAGATTCCTCAGGGAAGGAATAAAAAGATAAAGTGTGCTCCAGAGGAGCCAAATAGTCTCATAACTCAGAAAAATCAACTAATCTCTCCGCCGTCTTGAATATGACAAGCCTGATTCGTCTCTTGAGTCCTTAAGGTGACTGATCATTTGATTAGCCTCCACCGTGCTGTCAAAAGCCGTACTGTGAAGGGCCATGGGCTTGGTGGCTGTGCATTCAGCTCTGAACAAGTCGCTGAACAGGGTTTCTCTATTGTGTTAAGCTCACACCCATTTTCTTTGACAAAACTCAGCAGAAGGAAAAGCTGGAAGGAGCTGAACCTCAGCAACATTTTGGAACCCCTTCATGCAATAGCTGACATCCATCTGCTTAAACATTGGCCTTTACTTCCTCATCAGTAAAATGGGAGGAAATCAGTTGCATGTATATCCTTTGGGGCTCTGTGGCAGCACAGCTTGCTGTTTGAGAAACATTCGAATGAGCTATGAGGATGTGAGAATTCAGAAAATCTGGGTTCTTACTGTGGTAGTCAGTGGGAAGGCAGGGTGAAGGTCAAACATTTCACTAAATGGTGTCTTGTACACCAGCTGCCGAGAGAGTTTTAATTGGGGAATGAAATGACATTCATAAAAAGGATTTTCTCTAAGCAGAAGGAATCTTCAGAAACTTTCATGTCATAAACTGATGATTTTTTAAGGATTTATTTATTTATGCATTTAAGGGCTGGGGCACAGGCCAGAGGTGTGGGGGGATGAGAGGATTCACCAAAGACAGAGTGGGGAGCAGAACGGGCAGACTGACTGAAACACACTGCTGAGGGGAGCAGTGGGTGAGTCAGGAGAGGTCTGCTGTGCCATATGGGTAGCTCCCTGGCCAGGAATCGAACTCATGCTGCAGTGGCTGCGGACAGCTTCATAGGTTGTGTCTTAACCCCTTGCGCCACCAGGGAGGCCCAAGAAGCTGACTACTGAATGTGGCCAGGTAGACCCTCGTGTACACAGCTGTGAGAATCAGGTATCAATGGCACAGTCATTCACTGGGTAGGAATATCATACATTCCATATTTACAAAACCCCTATCATATGTCTTGGATGTGATTCTAACACCTTTTCTTAAGTTATCTCCTTTTATTCTCACAAGAACCTTAGAAACAGATAAGAATCCCTTTTGTCAAAGTGGGGAGTTGGGATAAAGGACCTTCTCAAAACACACACCCAATAAGTGGAAAAGTGAAATTCAAACCCAGGTTAATAAAACACATTTTAAAGACTCAGTATTTCCTAATGAACTTTAGCATGTAGCATGACAGGAGCCACTTTTGCTTCTTCGTAGTAAGTTGAATGACAGAACATTTCTCAAAAACATAAAACACTGTTGTGTATATTGGTCAGTGATTCTTCCTTACAGTGAGTGGCTCAAAACTATTAAAATCTTGATCACATTAATATTGAAGCCTAGGTATCTATCCAAAGAGCACAAAAACACTAATTTGAAAGGAAACCTGAACTCTTATGATTATAACAGCTCGATTTACAAATAGGCAAGTTATGGGAACAACCTAATACCCCAGAAGAGATGAGTGGATCAAGAAGATGGAATACTACTCAGCAATCAAAAAAGATAAATTCATGCCATTTGTGGCAATATAGATGAAACTGGAAGGGATTATTCGAAGTGAAGTGAGCCAGAAGGAGAAAGATAAACTCTGTATGGTTTCGCATATATGTGGGATCTAGAGAAAATAAACAAAGATTCAGATAAAGACAAACTGTAAGACTGACCCTTGAAGACAGATCGTAGCTCTGAGACACTCAGGAGGGGAGGAGGAGATTTGGAAGGGAAAAGGCCGAGGAGAGAACACAGGGAGAGGAGAGCATGGTGGAGGGTGGTAGAGGACTGTGTGCACTACAGTGATGGGAAAACTCTGGTGACTGCACCTGAGAGGGAGAAATCCCATATTGTGGAAAAATAAACAAGGATATTTTAAAGTCAACGAAACACAGTGATCAACTTCCTTTCCCAACTGAGTCTTGTAACTCAGTCAGAAAAATCAACTAATCTTTCCACCATCTTGAATATGTCAAGCCCAATTTTTCCCTTAAGTCCTTAAGGTGACTGAGCTTTTGGTATTATTTTGCATTTTATTCTGCCTATTAATTTGCAGAGAAGAAAAGAGATGCAGAGGTGGCAGGACTGAACCCAATCAAAGAGCAGGTTAGCTGGCAATTGGGCTTGAATAGACTGTGGGCTTCTATATTAAGTTTACCACTTAAAATTCAATTCTGTCCATACAATTGACCCCTTTCACTTGATTTATCCACCTCCCTTTCCCCATCCCATGTGGCTGATGATGACAATTTTAATATTATTTTAGTGACTCCACCACCCACAGATGCCCAGTGTTCCTCCTGAACTTAGGAAGCATTTTTCTAAGCCTGATTCATCTGTGTCGGGTAACTAGGGGTGCAAACATTTCCACTGGTTCCAATATTAATTTCCTTCTACTTCCAGCTCATAAGAGGATTGTTTTCACAACCCATAGCCTTAGGTGTAGCCAGAGACCGACAGCTGCAGCTGGGAGGAGGCATAAAAGAACCAGTCTCCCAGTCTCACATTCTCCATCATTTTTTCCCCTAAACTTGGCAGCCAGTAAAGTTCCAGAGGGCAGGGGGCCGCTAGGATCCTGGAGCAGAGCCCTTTATGCCCAACCCAGATTGTATATGTAAATCCCAAGTGACAAGCTTTGAGAGTTTAGGGATTGCTTTCTACAGCAGCCCATCCTGACTATTTCAGATGAAAAGCAACTGTTACTGACACAGCAGCGGATACATAAAAACTGTCCTGTTACTCCAGCAGGAGGCATGACCAAATGGCCAGCTTTAATACACTGTTTCGCAAAGTGTGCCCCCCAACACTGTAGTTGAATTCCTTGAGTATCTCACTACAAAACAAACGTCTGAATTCCATTTAGATAGCCTAAGTCACAATACAGTGAGCAGATCCCAGGAATTTGCCGTTTTTACCAAGTGCCCTCCATTCCAATTCCAGAGTCTCTGCTTTCAGATAATTAATCAACTTTAGATATTGACTAAAAAAACAGATGAGAGTGCTGCAGTTGCCAAATATTTGAAAGCACTTTTGACATTTTAGAATTAAGGGTACAAGCCTGTGGCTTTATATTCTTATTTTCAGAAATGAAACAAACACATTCATGACCTCTCAGCTATGGGGAACAGACTGGGCAGATTGGAAACATGCAACTTGGTGCGCATTTCCAGTGCTCCAACCTACCTCTCTGCCTCTCGCATCACTCAACTGGACTACTGAGGGTGCCTCTGCATGAGCACCCCACTTATTTTCATAAAAGCAACTGAAAGTGATCTTTGGAAAACTGATGCCACACAGTGTCATTGTGCAGCTTAAAACTTCATGGTTTTCAATTTTAGTTATGAGAAGACCCAGTCCCTGGGGTCCCTGGGGTCCCCGTGCTCTCCACCCTCACTCTGTGGAACCCATAAGCAGTCCTCACTCCCAGAGCACAGGTGCAAGCTACTCTGTCTTAGTAGCTGATTTCCCCTTGATATTAAATCTTCATGTTGCTGACTCTACTAAGTGACATAGATTTCACTTATTCGTTATCTCCTCAGAGGGCCTTTCCTGTCACTCTATTTAAAGTAGTTTCCTTGTGTTAATATCTGTCTCCTGATTTCCTTCTTGGTACTTAACCACAATCTGAAATTCTCTTATTAAGCTATTGATTGCCCTGGGTACCCTCTTACTGCCTTGACCTGGATCATTGCCTGGCCCTCACTGATGAATAATATGTATATTTGGAATGAATGGATAAATCTAGATGAAAGTCCTCATGAGGTCCCTGTAGGGGAAGGAGGGGACAGAGCAGGTTTTCTATAATCCGAGCAGATGGGGTAAAGGAGAGAGAGAGTCCTGGAGCCCTCGGTGGTTTTTTCAGGCTTTTATTGGGATTCACCAGGTACATGGCAGGCAGGGGTGCCAAGAAGTCTTCACTCTTCCCCGGGCTCTCTGGTGTTCTCTCGTGTCCTCTGCTTCTCTCTTCCACTTTCGCTCTTTAGCTCTGCTGGCGTACTTATACGCTGCCCTTAGAAGCCCAGTCTCAGCCCAGTCTCAGCCCAGGGGTACCCACCTACGCATGCCCACACCTATTCCAGGTGCCTACCATCAGGCATGCATGCAGGGCCACAGGGATCCATCATCAATCCTGTAGAGACAAGAAGGACACAGTGCAGGTTTTCTGATCCAGCAGACCGGGTAAAGGAGGAGTCAGAGCCCTCAGTGGCTTTTTGCAGGCTTTTATTGGGATTTACCTGGTACACAGCAGGCAGAGGTGCTGAGGGGCCAGGAGGCTGGCAGGCCTCCCAGCCCCCAGCAAGTCTTCACTCTCTCTGGGCTCTCCGGCGTTCTCTCTGCTTATCCTTTCTCAGCTTCTCTGTTTCTATTCATTCTTGGCTTCTGCTGGCATCCCGCAACGCTGCCCTTATAAGCTCAGTCTCTCAGCCCAGGTGTACCCACTTCAGGTGCCCGCCATCAGGCATGCATTTAGGACCACAGGGTTCCCTCATCTATCCTAATGGTGGGAGGGCAGAAAAGCCTGATACTTTACTTACCCTACAGTCCCACTTCATGGCTGCCTCGTTCCCTGACAATGACATCATCATTCCACATGGAACTGGGACTGGCATCTAAGTGTTTCTTTCCCTATGTTTGTACTTGGAAAATGAAAAAAAAAAAAAGTTTTCAAGGTAAGAGGTGTCCTGACTATGAGCCTTAAGCAAGCATTTCTCATTCACTGTACAACTACTAAAGGGAGGTCGAAGTCCTTCTGTTTACGATGTATGATAGCCCAAAGTGATGAGACGCCCTGCTGGAAGGGTTGGGGGACAATCCAAGACTGCAGACATAATTTTTATCTTGACTGTCTCGTATCAGTCCCAAAGGTCAGCAAGTGGCATACCCCCTTTCTTTCCCAAAATACAAAAAAAAAGCTTGCTGTTTATGGAAAAATACACCCTCAAGGTAGCACTGCTGGGTATTACCAGGGGAGTGTCCCTGGCAAACTAACTCTGGGGCAAATATGGTTCAGAAAAACCTCTCATGGTGGCCTGTCAGCATGTGCACACTGACTTCCCAGCCACGTGGTCACCAGCCTGTTCTCTGGAAATTCTGCTAACTGGGGAATGATTTAAGATTTGTTTTTTTATGCGTATAAGAATTGGGGTGTAGGCCAGAGGTGTGGGGGGTAAGAGGATTCACCAGAGACAGAGTAGGGAGCAGAACAAGTGGATCTACTGAAATACTCTGCTCAGGGGAGCAGCAGGCAAGACAGGAGAGGTCTGCTGCGCCATGAGCATCAGCTCCCTGGCTGGGAATAAAACTCATATCCAGTGGCTGGTGATAGCTTGATAGCTGAGAGCTCTGTGTCTTTAACCTCTGCGCCCCCAGGGAGGCCCTGAGGAATGAAATTTTTTAAATAGGCAAGCCATGTGTGAATGCAATTGCTCCCTTAACTGAGAAAAACTGTAGTGGCACATAATTGATAACATATGGGAGTTCAACTGGGTGAATGAAAAGTGGGAGGGAGAACTCTCATTACACCACCTCCTAAAATGCTGGCATTGGTGTATGCCGCCTTCTTAAGTAAAAAGAAGTCTGAAGCTTTCGAGGATGTCTAACGTACTGGACATTTTCCAATTATTGCTCCTTTTTGATATTAGATGATAATAACAGTCAGGTGAGTTACTCTGGGCATCACCAGCTCAGCTCCTGGCAGCCAGGCCCTCCAAGTGCTTCTGCCACAGTGCTCCCCTCCATTGAGTTAGGCCATTTTAAGGACTTGAACGACTAGAACTACCCAGCATTTTATTTTGGTGGAAAATGTTGAAACATACATTTAGTAACTTCATGAACATGTGTTTATTTCACTAAAGGCTGTCCCTGCTTTCTCCGAATGAATTGACAGCTGTTATTGGTTTAGGAACATGGGGCTAAAGTCTGGCTACTTGAAAATTACTTCACTGATCTGGACAAAGGTTTGATGTGTTTTGTCCATGTTTAAAATTTCCCAGAGCACATCAGTGTACTACATACTGAGTACCTGGTATAAAACTAGCCTTTTTCCCAAAAGACTTTGTGCTCTGTGTTTAAGCATTTGCTTCCCTCTGTTGAGAATCCTTTGGTTTAAAGAATCTGTGAATTGAGATCTGGACAGCGTTTTAGGTTCCCAAGCTTTTGTTTTCAGAATTTAATTAACCACCTGATGCCTTTTAAATCCAGTTTAATAGCTGAAACGGATTTTTTGTGCTTTCTGCACTTAAATGATTATGTGCTCATAGGCATGCACATGTTGGATTTCTTCAAGAATTTATTTCAGACAAATGTGCTGAAGGTCAAATTACACTATGGCTATTTTTAAAATTCAAAATCTTGGTGATTTCATTGGGTCTGTTCAGAATATTGGAAATGATCCACAGACCAGCAGATAATAAGACTGATTTTTTTTTTCAAAGCATCATCTTTTCTTCAGCACATATCTGCTGCTCACCCTCTTTTCCTACTGTTGAGTTGCTTTTTCACACAGTTAGCTTTAGGGGGAAAATGGGGAGCAAACACTTGCTTAGTGACAAGACAAAATGATGTCTAGTGCTGTGACATAGTTCCGTTCACATTTCCTTTTTTGGTCCCTGTTCAATTACCTGCAGAAATAACCTCCCTGAAGAGAGATTCCTTTGCCCCCAGTCTTATGTCACTGATTAACTATTGTGTATTGGGTAAAAAGGTTTAAAGTTTGTTGAATGAATGTGTGGTAGATAGAACCCATGATCGCTTTAGGAGTTCTAATGTAAATGAAGAGACCAGACAGCTTTAGTGGGGTGGCTTCCCATCACTTTTGTCCTGTCTTTGCACAGGGTTCCCCCCAACACATGACTGTTGTTTCTTCTTCCATCAGCTTCTGTGTCTCATTTCCCTTCCGTGAGGGAATAAATAAACTAAATACATCAGATATACAGAATGTTAGACGCTGACACACACTTGGGAAAAAAAGAATAGTGATGAGAGATAGGAAGCAGTCTTTCATCTGGTAACATTTGATCAAAGATTTGGAAGAGAGGGAGGGAGAAAGGAAGGAGGCTTCCAGATACCTGGAGAAAGCAATCCAGACTGTGAGCAAATCAAATAAACCATGGGTGGCAGGAATGAGGAGAAATA